AGACTGAGAGCGGCAGGCGATGAAAAACGAGCGACTCGCAGGGCTCACTGATGATCTACTTCGAGGTAAACTCTCCTCCCCCCCTTTTCCTCTCCCCTCCTTCTGCTCCTCTTCCTCCTCATCCCAACCCCACTCCCGCTCTTGCTCCTCCGGCTCTTCCTCTTCCTCTTCGCCCCTCCCCTCCCTTCCTCCCCCTCCTGATCCTCCTTCAATTACCTTGGGACCCGCCAGAGCTCCTCTCGGACCTCGATACCTGAGCGACACTCGTCAGGGAGGAAGAAAACCATGAGCGTCACAAAAGAAAGAGAAGAAACAGGAGGGGGGAGGGGGAAGGGAGGATCGAAAAATGAGGTAGAAGAGAGGGTGGCAGGGAGGGGAGCAAGGAGCAGGGAGGGTTGAACAGACCACACTGTTCTGCCTAGATTGTCAACCTCTTTGCTGCTGCAATCATGAAAGTCAGGAGGAGGAGATGGTGCCAGTGGTCTACCTGTATCCCTTCCTGTACACGCTCAGCCAGCGGCGATTTCCCTTCTCCTCCACACTCCTCCGCAGGGTCATTTGGACCTGAAGCAGAAGGCACGTTTCAAGGAAGTTCCACTGAGGAAGGGAGGAGAGGGGAGGAGAGGAGAGGGGAGGGGAGGGGAGGGGAGGAGAGGAGAGGAGAGGAGAGGAGAGGGGAGGGGAGGGGAGGGGAGGGGAGGGGAGGGGAGGGGAGGGGAGAGGAAGGGAGGAGAGGGGAGGAGAGGGAGAAGGCTGAGATGGCAAGGAGAAGATTCGAGTTGTTGCTCAAATGACAGGTAGCTGCTGACCCGATTTCCCACTAGAGTCTGTTGGAGCATGAGAGGATTGCGATGGCGCTGAATCATGCGATGCGAACGGACACTGTTCACGAAAGCAAGGTGATGATATACCTCTAACGCTGATAGTGATGACTATTTTATCTTCAATTTTGACTTCATTTCCCCTCATTTGTTGTTCGTTGCTCGCATGACACGTGCGATCACAGCATGGGCGTTACCTGGTACGCCAGAAGAACTACATCGACTCAACCTTGTTGTTTCGCGCTCTGGCTGAGAGCAGGTGACCTGCCCCTCCTCCAACACATCTCTTGCTGTTCTCGCCTCCTCTTCCTCCCTCCTTCCCTCCCCCTACTCAGCCCAAAACCTTTGCATGTTGACTTTCCATTCTGGCTCAGTGATTACCTCGCGTCCGGCTTGATCGCTGCGTCTCCCGTACTTTCTCAGGTGCAACTGCTTTACTTGTATCACCCCTCATGCTTGACTTTGTGTCTTGTACTAGCGCTTCTTCCCCGACTTCGAGAGCGAGGAGGAGATGCACAAGCAGCAGGTCACGAGCGCGAGTGCCAGGCGTCTCTCTCACGCCTCTGCAGAAGTCCAGGAGGTGGGCGCTAGGGACGAGAATCCTGCCCGTGTTCGTGTTCTCGCTGGAGGTGAGAGGGTGTCGGGATAAGGAGGGGCTGAGCTTGACTGGTTGCAGGAGGAGTGGAGGGAGGACGTGCTGCTCTTCGACAACTGGCTGCCCTACGCGGGTGAGTAGCGACGCCTTGAGGGAGGGAAGTGACGAGGACGCGAAGCCTCCAAGGATGTGGTCGCGGTGATCCAGTCGGGGCACTCAGACTCGCCCGTTCCTTTCTTCTCAGGTGCCTCCCCCACCTCCCGTGACCCTCATGACCCACCTGACGCCAGGAAGCTCCTACATCACCATGTCACTGCAGAACCCGACCTCCAAGTCAGTCTACCCCTCCACTCAACTTAACTAGTCCTCCCTCCTCCCTCCTCCCTCCTCCCTCCTCCCTCCTCCCTCCTCCCTCCTCCCTCCTCCCTCCTCTCTCCTCCCTCCTCTCTCCTCTCTCCTCCCTCCTCTCTCCTCTCTCCTCCCTCCTCCCTCCTCCCTCCTCGCTCTCCCTCCCTCCTCCCTCCTCCCTCCTTCTTCTTCCCTCGCTCTCCCTCCTCTCTCCCTCCTCCTCCGGTTATTGGAATACCTTCTCTCATGCTCACAGTCATTCAGGTTTGTCGCCCTCCCCTCCTCCACCTTCGACTGGACTCGACGAGATGGGGTGAAAGAGATCCCAATCGAATCTCGAAACGAGAACGAGGTCTCCTCCTCCTCCTCCTCCTCCTCCTCTTCCTCCTCCTCTTCCTCCTCCTCTTCCTCCTCCTCGTTTTTCTTTTTCCCCAATCTCCACCATTGGTCTTCGTTCTCGTCCTCATCTCCTGCCATTTCCTCCCTCCCCTTCC